TATATATATATATATATATATATATATATATATATATATATATATATATATATATGAGTGCCCTCATTTCCCTCTCATTTCTCCTCCTCCCAACCGTGAACACCCCTATTCTCTCTCAAGAACGTTCGACCGTGAACCCTCCAAAGCTCCAAAAATGTAAGTGTTTCAACCTTAAACTTGTTATACTTGAACGATTACTAGATCCTAGCCTTGATTTTCTATGATTCACCATGTTTCATCACCATCTTCATGAACTTGAAGGGATCACGATCGTGAACCCTTCATCAGGGCCGTGAAACCTTCATAGATTCATAGGGCCGTGAAAACCTCATGAGGCCGTGAACTCTATACGGCCGCAAACCCATCATTGGGTGGCCGTAAACCCCTTCCAAGCCTCCATTTGTGAACCTAACACTTGATGTAGGGTGTTTCCTACAATCTTAGGTGGTTTCCTATACTTGTTAGTAGATATAACCACTAATTCTAGGCCTATACATGTTCATATGTGTTTAATAGGATCGTATTGTGCTCGGGACTTCACTTAGCATACCAAGCATTCTATCTGTGTCATTCATCCAAGTCCTTCAAAATCAGGTGAGTTCATACCCCCATATTTTCCAATGCTTTTTAATGTTTTTAGGGGGGGGGGGGATACAAGTAAAAGCATAAGTAATCTTGTGTTTAAAAATATAATTTGGTTTATTATATTTTCCTATCATTAGCACAAATTGAACGTAGAACTTATTAAACATGGTAAACATTGTTACTACCAGACTTGAAATCAGTTTTACAAAAACATGTTAAGATACCAATGTTACAAACACAGTTTTCAAAACAAAGGAAACAAACTTAGGAATTATGAAATAAAAGATATTATTTTGAGAATTCATGTCAATAACAAAAAGGGTTTTCATAGTATTATTCGTGGATTCGTTGAGAGAACCAACAGTGTGAGACACGTCTTCTGAGAAGTCTACCCCTTATAGCTAGAGTCTCCTAGAGGGAGAGCGTGAGTTTGTATATAGATCTATACGGGAGTGACAATCCCGCACCCTGACTATTAGCTACAGTCAACCGGGGGTGACAAAGGTCATTTTCAGTTTTCGACGCCCGAAGCACGTCGTATTGGTATTCGTCCATAGTATGGTTATAAGAACTCACAGGGGAAACAACGACCCGTTCACGTAATAATGTACTTAACAATCGATCATCAGGGTTAATAACTAAGGGTTACTTAGTATATACAACAGGGTTATGTGAAATTACCATCCGACATGCAGTGGGATGTGTGGTTTCCGCCTCATTTCCTGTTCATTGTTTGGTTGTGGGCTTAGGGCAGATCCACACAATCGACTGTCTGTTCGATGTAGATTTCTATAACTCGTATGTACTAAGTGATCACAGGAGGGTATTAACAATGCTTTTAGTAAATAGAACAATGCTTAAACAATATAAGTATGGTAGATGCTTATACTATTCGGTTTAGAACAGATAATTCAATAACTTACATTTAGGGAAAATATAGGATTTTCCAGGGTAAACATCAGTATACTATAAACAATCGGTTTATCATTTCATTCATGAACATTCATAGTTAATTCTGTAATTCCTTAGTTTATGCATCCAGACTATGTATGAGGAATATTCGATAGACCATGGAATATGTGGTTTCCGCCTCATTTCCTGTTCCTTGTTTGGTTGTGGGCTTAGGGCAGATCCACACAATCAATCGTCTGTTCGATATTGGTTTATACATAGCTAGTATGAACTAAGTAGTTATAAAAAGGAATTGGTTAATCATGCATTCAATAAGAAAATAATGGATTTTCTTGAGGAACACTTTCAATAGATATCAAAGGATCAATATAGTTAACTTTGTAAGTATCTAGTGAATACCTCAGGATTGTGTACATAAGGATCCGATAACCTGTGGAATGTGTGGCCTCTGCCTCATTTCCTGTTCCTTGTTTGGTTGTGGGCTTGGGGCGGAACCACACAATCGATTTTTTATTCGATCTGGATGGTATATGATTTGTATACACTAAGTACTAGCAGGAGGAACTTGTAAGAATCATTTTTACTTAGCATTCATCACATGAGAAAATATGAGGTTTTCTTGAGAAACATAACGCACTTTTCGAAAGAACAAAGAACCTGTTTTCCAAAATAAAACGCTTATGAACTCACCAGCTTTATGTTGATACTCTTTCAAAACTTACTTGTATTCTCGGGACATTAGTAGACAGGTACACACACCGAATTCAAGAAGACGGAGCATAGTATCTTCGAGTCTTTACTTGTTATTTACTTTTAGAGTCAATCGTGCATGATTCATATGTAATGTGAACATTATACTATTAATACAATGGTTGTTGTTGCTTTGATTACTATTATTCAATTGTTGTGATACTGTACATGACGTCCTCCGCCCCCGAACGTTTCCGCCGTTCCGGTTTGGGGGTGTGACAGAGGCCCAGAGACAGGCGGGGCCTAAGAGAAACATATTTGTATACCGAGCGGGGCTCGATGCCAGGCGGGACCTGATGTCGGGTGGGGCCCTATGCCGGATAGAGTCTGATGTCGGGCGGGGACCCAATATATGTGGTTATGTGTATGGTGTGTGGTAGTATGAGAAACTCACTAAGCTTCGTGCTTACGGTTTACAGTTTTGGTTTCAGATACTGCCAGTTGCAAAGAGAAGAGCTCGGGACGACTACATCGCACACACCATTATGTTTAGCCTGGGATGTTTCCTCTGATGTTTTGATATGATACTCTGATTTATGTTGGAATGTTATGACTTATGTCTTGAGGAAATGATTTTAATAACTATGGATTATTTAATGGTTTAAAATGAAATTTTTGGTCATGATTTTTGGGATGTTACATTTTGGCATTTTTTTTTCTCAATTTGTCGATTTTTTTATAATATGACAATTTGACGTTTTGACTAATTTTGAGTGCCTATCTCGATTAATGATTGATTTTTATCGAGCTCGCCTAATACGGCCAATTAGCATTATTCGTATGCAGATGGAGGCTACCAACTAGATTGATTTTTGCATCATTGATTTTAAGTAATCTAGTTTCATTGAATCAACGCAACAAATTCAAATTACCAAAGAAATAATTCACAAATGAGTTATATTAGGTTTATCTTAAATCATGTATCGACTCTTGACCATGCGTCTTTTGGAAACAAAATTTGAATATGCCCACGAATGTTTCTATTCCATTTAGAACTCAAGAAGTAACTCTTACTGATTGCTTTGTTGTTGCCCGTATATGTTTGTTTTCCATTTCATCTTTTACTTATATATTGAAACCAAACATTAAAATGTGTTTCGAGATACTTATGATTGAAGTGATGTCATGTTCTTGATCCATCTGCAACCTATCAGATCTCAGCTCAGGTTGTTCTAGTTTACACCGATCAAAACAATGTCGTTTGAACATTTAAGGATACGGATTGGTGTATAGTTGTTATTCAATTTGTTGGTTTTATTCGGTTGTTGGTGTTTCTGTAAGTTTAGAAAGTTTTCGCTTTATTATTGTTGTTGTAGATTATAGAAAAAAAATTATAAATGAGGACTTAAATACAAATTTTAAGAACTTTTTAGAACTTCAAAAGGCTATAAAGAACACAACATAATTGCTTGTATGTTTTGATTGGATATTTCTAAAATTACAAGGATTTTACAAGATATAACAATTTTAGAAGCTTTTAGCTTTCGATTTATATGTAATTTTACCATTTTAAAAATTAACTACAACTTTTGTGGAATTTCTTTACAAATAAAAGTTACACATCCCGCTAGTTTTGTCAAGGAGACATCTCTACTGATTTCTATGTAATAATGTAAAGCAGGATTAGATTGGAGCATTGCAACCAGTTCTTCTCTATCTTATATCACTTCAATTCTCCAAAATAAAAGACATCGAGGAATTGAAACCAATCTTATACAATAATTCAAGTTTGAATATGAATGAACTCCAAATCACCTAAACACGACACAGAAGAAGCTGATGAACTACTCGACTGATCTAAATAACTACAGCTGTGAAAGTAAAGTAACATATCCTCCTTTCACCTCTACTCATTCTTTTACATGCAAACAAACAAAGACAAAACACAAAGACCATAATGGCCTCTGCAATTACCAAACTACCCACCCTCATAACACCCTAACTATCCATGGAGACTCACGTTGATGTCAGTTGTTGTATTTCTCCTCACCTCAGTCTCAGGGGCATTATAGGCAGACCAACCATCCCCTCGTAATGTAGTCAGTGATGACAAGTTGTTCTGCTTCACGGTCTCCTCTGTCTGGGCGGCTGGTGCCGGAATCGCGGCGGCAGGTGGTGGTGCAGGTGTCGCGGTCTCTGGTTTTGACTTCTTGGTTGTCTTCTGTTCCATCGGCTGATTTCCCGCCAAAAAACTTGCTACCACAATCTGAGAGAGGAGAGGGAAAGGATTTATTGGAATGAAAGAATGTGATTTAATTTATAGGAAATTTATAAAACTAAAACATAAAAATGAAGTGAAGTGAAGTGACCTGAACAGGAGTGGCGGCTACTAGTAGGCCTGCAACACCACCACCAACAACCCGGCCATCTGGGCTTGCTAAAGAAACGCTCATTCCACCGGATCGGTTTCTTATTCCTCCGCTTTCAGATGGCATAAAAGAACCAGCTAACGAAAGTATCTCAAAACGACCCTACGATTTTTCACATAAAATATCAAAACTTGTAATGTAAGATATTAATTCATTACATATGGTACCTACCTCGTAAGTCAAAGTACCACCAGAAGAGTCAGGTTGCCGAAGGGTAACACTCGAAATAACACCATTTGCTGACAGAATGCATATTGCCCGAGGCCCTTGTTGAGAGAATGATATAACCTTCATCGTCACATCCTAATCAACCAATTCCAATTCCAAAATTTATCAAACCAACCAATACTAAGTCCAAAATATAATGGGTCCCATTTAGAACTAATAAGCAAGTACACCATATTTAATTTTAAAAATGGGACCAAACTTAGTGAACAAACAAGACGTATGTTCACTTTGACTTTGACTTTTACCTCTCCAGCATTGACATTGATGATATGAGGTGTAAAATTAGCTCCAACCGAAGAAGGAAACCAGTCGCCTGTTGGAAATTAACAAACTGGATCATTATTTTGGATCTGGCGTATAAAAGAATTAGTAAGAAGAATAGTGAGTTTTTTCGTTTTCTTTTTTTTTTTTTTTAAAAAAAAATCAAACAGTAGAAACATGAAAGATGACCACTTCCAGTTTCAGCCAACAACCAAACCCCACAAGATAATAAAAGCAAAGTCTTGATCTTTACACGTCTAGCTAAATATAGATTCATCAATTCTTGGTTTGACCCTCTTCACTGTTGTTTCTACTAATCTACTTTCTACTTATATATATAGGTTTCAAACATATAAGCAACAAAACTAGAAACGTGAGATCAAGATTCTTAAAAGACACAACTTGCAGACAAGAAAAATAAAAGAGCTATCCATATCCTATGTCCATGGTGGATGGGTATCTTGGTCCCACATCTCTGATCAAACTACTTAAAAAGTTGAAATTTATCCTATTAGATATGCAAGTATGACAGCAAAAATTAAATCTTGAAAACAAAAAAAAAGTTTCGATTTTTATCAAGACATAGATGAATGTTTCTTGGTCTGTTGCGTTACCTAAGCTTTCCATCCTAAACTTGGATGAATGTTTCTCGGCGGAGGGTAGCCGGATTTTGCCTTTTTTCCCCGATGAGAAGTCGATCACCGGTGAAGAACCAGCAGATGAGATGGGTTTTGGAGATAAAGTTTGATTCACAGACCCATCTGGTGCGTACTTTCTTGGTCTGCCTCGTTTCTTCTTCATAGACAAGGGCATCACACCTAACGGCGGAGGCACCGCCGTCGACTGGGGAGAGATAGCCACCAGTGTTGTGACAGCTGTTGATACAGTGGTGGTGATTTGGCTGGGAGGTTCGGTTCTTGGAGATATATGATACTCCGACGGAGCATCTGATCCGACCACGGTAACACCAGTACTATTCATCCCTACTTCCCTCCCTTCCATTTCCAAATTCATCAAAAAATTGTATATACCTTTTTTATTTACCAAATTTGGATTGTACTCAAGACAAATCCCGTTGATTTCTTAAAAATGAAAAATAGAAAGAAACACAGAAAATCTAAATCAGAAGAACATAAAACCAAAAACCCAGAAAATTCAATCAAATATAAAACATAAAATGCATGAAAAAAAATTAAAGCAAAGAAAATCCTGGAAATCTTTATATTAAAGAAAGATCAAACATGAAGAAACAGTGACTATTCATTTAATTTTTTTTGCCACAAAACAAGAAGCTTTGAGTAGATTTAAGCAGGGGGGAAGTTGTTTAAATGAGGATGATGATCAAAAAAATAAAAATAAAAAGTTTGAGTAATAATGGGTTGATCATAAAAAGAGATTGAAATTGTATTTTTCTTTTCTGTAATAAGAAAATGAGGAAATTGAGGTGTTTTTAGGCGTGAAGCTATATTGGGTCGTTAACTTTTCTGAGGATTGTATGTATTACAAATATAAAAGAAAATTTAGTAAAAACGGAAAAAAGAAATTATTTAATGTTGGGCTCTTTAATTATCAATATTAAAGTAGAAGAAATTATGTATTTTGGTTAAGAAATGGTTGAAGTCCGGTGAAAATAAAAACTAAAATTATAATTTTATAGTTGGGAAAAGTGAAATTAGGTTGCCAAGCTTTTT